ATTAGAAGCCTTTGCATTTAAAAATTCCCCTTAGTCTTATACAGCGGCTTTCATACTTTGAGAACCATTTTTATATACATTACACATATTGCACATTAAATACTATATTTTCTATAATTTAGAATATTTTTTTCATACTTCAAAAGTTACCAAAAAAAGAGAAAAATATTTCTGCTCCAGCATCGCAATTTTTTAAAGCAAGTCATGTTTTTGTTTATGTCTTGATGCACTTGTTATTTATGATTGTCTGCTACGAGCCTCTACCACAACTTCCTCCTCTCTCCTTGTAGACCTTTTCCTTGATATTTTTTTAATATAATTTATTTGTTTTGTTTTTTATTTAATTTAATTTTATTTAATTTTTAATTTTTTTATTTTATTTTATCTACATTCTGATTTATTCACATCTCTTTGATCTGTCATAAACAAGTTAAAAATAAAATCTTTTTTTTCTTGGTTTGTATAAATGTATATGTATAAATGTATATAAAAGCATACTTTAGACATTTTTATACAGAAATTAAAATTCTCCTATGCCTTCATTAAGTTCTCAGTAAGTGTGCAACCACATATTGGAAACACTTTATTAACTTGTAAAACACTGTGTTAGCTTCTTATTAAAACTTTTGTATGCTAATATTTTTGATAAAACTCTTATTAGTTAAATTTGTAAGTCTCTTAGTAAAACTCTTCATAAACACTCTGTTAAACCCAATGAGTCTGTTCAAAGCAATCAAAAATATTTTGTCAAGACAGAAGTATAAAGTTGAGTTATCAGAAATTTAGAGTCACTTTAGATGTAATGTTGTCAAGAAGATCGTTAATGTAGATTAGAAACTAAAGAGGACCAAGGATACAACCTTGAGAAACCCCAGAAGTTACTGGAAACAAAGAAGAGTGTTAGCCTTCAATGAAAGTTTTTGAGATGATAATCTCAAAAACCTTTCCAGATAGATCATATAAAGCAAGCTTATGGAGAAGTCCAGCATGCCAAACTTTATTGAAAGTTATAGATATGTTAAGAGCATTAGTCTTTGAATTAGCCGCCTTCATCTAACTGCTTGGCTGACTTTCTAACTGCTGTCACAGCAGTTAGAAAGTCAGCCATAGAAAAGAAAAAACCAAAAACCATTTATTTGACTCAAGATATTATTAAAAATTGTTGATCAAAAACTCAAAGACCTTGCTAAAAATAGAGAACAGACTGATTGAACAATAGTTGGAGAGGTCAATATGTTTTCAAGAGTTTTTTAAAAATTGAAACCACGAATGCCATTTTCCAGCGGCAGGAAAACAAGGTTCAGTCAAGCACTTAATAAATAGTTTAGAGAAAATTGAAGCGAGTTTTGCAGAACACTTTTGTAAGACTATGACAAGAATGTTGCCTAGACCACAACCCATAGAAGAGTTTAAATGAGATATGACTTTAGCAATGGAAGATGGAGTAATTTGAATGACAATGAGCTAACTTGTTTTACTGGAATGGAAGGAACAGTATAGCCGTAAGATTTAAGAGTCAAATTAGAAGAAAAGTTCTTTGCAAAAAATCTGCCTTATCCTTAGGAGAGATAATAAGATCATTTTGATGAAAAAGAGATAGAGTGTTGGATTTACTTTTGTTAAGGTCGTCTAGTAAAAAAATTGATTATTTGATTATTTAAAAAAAAGTAAAAGTTTTATTAAAAAAGGAAACTTGTGCTCTTGTAGAAAATATATTCTTTTACGCATTTTTTTAATTAAATTTTTATAAAATTTACTTCTTTCAAAGATACATTAAATTTTCCCCCTAGCAACTCCCTTAGCAAAAATGCTCATTGGTTCTTTTGAGCCAAAAGTTTTAACCAAAATTTAAAATAAATTTTCCTTAAGGAAGCAGAATCTTTAAGGATTTATTTACAATTTAGGATTTATTGATAAAGAAAAATACCACAAAGAAGGAGATATTCTAAAGAATTATTTTAAAAACATTTTTTTTTTATTTTGTTAGTTTTCTCTGTTTGTAATTTTGCATACTTAAAACACACATATCTCAGCTTCTATTAGTCATTTTTGAATGAAATTTTCAATGAAATTAAACTCCCCAAATGTGTATACCTGCCATTATGGATCTAAAAATAATTATAAGTTTTTACTGGTTCACATACTAGTTTTGTATATTTTCTGCATGCACACCAAAGTTCATACAAAAATAATCTACAGATAGTTAAAACTCCTTGTTTAAAAAAGCAATGTATTAAGAATATTTTTGCTGATTCAGCATTTAAAAACGTTTAAAAATGTTTTTTTTTTGCAATATAAATATAATTTCTTTAAGTTGAAAATAAAATAAACTTTGCAACAAAATACATATTTTTAACTAGAAGACCAACTTAGTGACACTGATAAAAGTTTTCCACAAGTCGCTAGAGCCTAATTTCTGAGATAAGATACGGGATTTAGTCAATGACGTATAAATATAACTAGATGCATGACTTGAGTTAAAAAGTGAAGCCAGCCTCCGCCATCTAGCGGTACGGCAAAAATCTTACCTTCTGAGAAAGGTTCATAGGGATATATGACTAATTTAAACTGGATATAAGTTTTCAAAGAGGTTTTAACTGTTAAATTTTTTAGAGCAGCTACTTCTTTTTAAAAAGTTGCAGGGTTATGATCATTTTGTGCTGTGCATATACTAATAAGTATAAATGTTATCATACCTGTGAAACGACACACCTTATTTTTGTATTAGTATAGTACTAATACAAAGTAGTAATGTACTAATATGCTGTGCATATGGGTGCACAAATGGCCAAAAACAAAAACAAGGCGTGTCATTTCACAGGTATGATGAAACACTAATAAGTATAAGTGTTATCATACCTGTGAAACAACACACCTTATTTTTGTATTAGTATAGTACTAATACAAAGTAGTAATGTACTCATACCAACAGTATTATACTAATACTAACTGACATTAGTATTAGTATAATACAAATACTAACTTATAACTAAAATGTAATACTATTATTTATTGTATAAGTTATTACAAGGCTTATTAATATTTGTATATTATTGTCTATATTATTTTTTATTTTATTTTACTTTTTAAATTGTGCATTCCTAAAAGGAAGTCTTTAATTGTACATGAATACAAATAATGTTTACATTATAAAAATCTTATTTGTATGCAAAAAATATTAAAATACTTTAATTTTTTAACAACGCAATAGTCGCATACTTGATGTGATGTCATTTTTTGAGGCGCAACCGGCAGGGTTGAAGGTTCAAAACTTCATTTGGGATTTTTTCTTTTTAATCTCAATGTCTAAGTAATTTTATTTAGTTTTAATTTTCAATAGTTTTATGTTTTTTAAATATAATTGTCATTTATATATAGTTAAATTTCTCAAAGTTTCATTAAAAGTGCAAAATCCATACATAAATTACTGTACATAAATTACATAAATTAACTGATTTAGTACATAAATTGACTGATTTAGATGTAGTTACATCATTTTTATGATGACTTACATGTTGATCATTTTTATGATGACTTACATGTAGTTGAATTGATAAAAAAAATCGCTGCTAGATTTTTAACTATTGGACTGAAAATTTCAAAAATATTACTTTGAACCAATTCAAGGAATGAAATAACAAAAACTTTTTGTTAAAAAGCTTTAAAAATTTACTGGTTTTGATTCATACATACTTTTAATTGAATATTTTTAAATCTACCTTGTATTACTATACTAATATTTCTACTCTATAATTTTATTTTATTTGAGACCAGACATGAATTACATTAGAAATATTTTAGGTTTTCGACTGTTAAAAAATGATTTTAATTTTGTAAACTTTCATGATTTGAAATTTGCTTTATTAGCCATTATAAGTACCTCAAGAACCTTAAACATTTAATGGATCCCCAATATCATCAATATCTCAAACATAATTCATGTCTGGTCTCGAATAAAAAAATTTTTTTCAAAAATTTGAAATATGTTTGTCATTTATATATATATATATATATATATATATATATATATATATATATATATATATATATATATATATATATATATATATATATATGTATGTGTGTGTGTATGTATATAAATTGAAAATATAGTAAAAATTAATTCTCTATAGATGCTTAATTAATAATATCAAATTTAATTTATCAAAATAATAAAAACTTAATCAAAATTTCATGACTAATTATTTATGTAAATAATTCTCTATGTTTTTATAGTTGCGTCTTATGTTTTTGCTATACTGCAATATGGCGGACACTGGCTTCACTAAGTTATACGTAAAAAGCTGCCAGTCACACATCTATTTATATTTATACATCAATGGATTTAGTAAACTGGGAATATAGGAACTTAGCATCAGACAGCACTTTTTTACATTGATTTGTTGCAATGATAATGAGTGAGAGATAGAGAAAGACATAAGTTATTGTTAGAAGGGTCAGTGGTGTTAGAGTAAAGCTATTCAGTGTGATGAGCATTAAAGTTACCAATAACAACAATATCAGTAGGGTGGAAAAAAGGATGATCAACCTGATCAGAAATTACATTTAAAAGAGTGCAGTTTAAGAAAAAAAGATGATAAAGTACAAAGATAAAGTACCAAGTGAAGAGTGAAGAGGTGCTAAGTTGCAGCACATAAAGAAATGGTCAGAGGATTCAAACTTGATTTCTAGACAAATTGTTAGATTGATGCATAAGTGAATGCCTAAGCTAAGCATGTGACTATTAGAGCCTTTGTAAATCAAAGAATAGTACCCATCAATACTGAGATCTGATGAAGGAACAGTCGAATTTAAATTAGTCTTACAAAGAGCAAGCAAGTCTAGTGAATTTTAAAAGAGGTAAAATGTAACTGATAAAAAGTTAATTTACAGACCACAAATATTAGACATTAATGATGGTAATAATCAGTGATGGTAAATCACTAATTAATATTTTTGGTTATTTTAGGTTGTTTAAGTTCAAAGAAAACTTGACTTATTCATAAATAGAGCATGCCATCCCAAGCATGCTCTATTTATGAATGCTATCCCAAGTAAAGAGCTATGAAGCTGTCTCAGTTCTGCTAATTAACCTAAAGTCATAACTTAGGGTTTCATATGTAGCCACGACAATGCACACCAAAAGCATTAACAGAGACACTATCCATGTGCAACATGGCACTGTTAATTCTATGATATTTTACAACTTTTGATGGAACTAGCCTCTCTAAGACTACTATGAAGTTCAAGAAATCTTACTACTAGCCGGCCTCAGAACCATAAAACTAAATTTTGGAGCTATACCATCATTAGAAAATAACAGGAAGAGTTGCATAGCAAATATCAAAGAAATACAAGCAAAAATCTATGAGTAGAGTCAAGAAGATCCAGTATTCATTATTATAGGCAGGAAATAATGTAACAGGTTTACACATACAACAGCCTAATTGATAAAGAAGCGGTTTGAGGCTGAATTATTCTGCTTACCCAATAAGTCTTTGCCTAAGAGGCTTTCTACAAGACAATAGCTAGATGCAGTTAAAATCTTCCCAAGATGAATATTTTTATTGAGACATCATCTATAGCTTTTATTCAATCAAGAGCCCCAAAGCAGGGGAATTTTAAGTCAGAATTTATTTCTCTTAACTGTTGTCTGAAAAAAGCAAACTTAACACTAGGCAGCAGGGCATGTGGCAGCTAGTAATGAGTTACATGACACCAGTAGCAGGGTGACATAAGGTGGAGAAGCTAAGAAGCTAAAAAGTTAAATCCTGTAAGCAGTACTTAGCAGTATTTAAAATTTTAATTATAATAATCTAAGATCATAATAAATAATTTATACTTGTAAAATTAAATAACTTATTTATGTTTTTGTAAACAATTATTTTTTCGTTTCAATTTTCAAAAAACAATTTACTGACACATTTATAAAAAAATTATAAAAAAAAATATTATAATAAATAACAACTCATTAATAAATATGGTTGATTATTATGCATTAAATATAACTAGATATTTCATATTAATTTTTTTAACAAATTTAAAATAATTTGGTTAAAAAAAAAACTCAAAGAAACTATGACTAAATTTTTGTGTTAGGATTACTATTCTTAAATGTTATTTTTTTTTTGTTTTATTAAAAACCTAAATGTTTGTAAAAAAAAATTTTCAGACAAACATTTTCTGCAACCCTTTTAGCAAGTATGCAGTTTCTCATTAAGCCAGTTTGCAATTATAATTTTATTACATACATTCATGTTTGCAATTTTAAAATTCAAATTAGACACCTCAACTGCAATTGTTGCTATGGTAGCTAGTGTTACCACAGCAACAATTAATTTTACTTTATATGTTTTAAAAAATGTTACTATGTTGAAAAATATCAAATGTTTATTACTTGTTTTACTATTATAATTGTTTGCTTTCAAATTTTCTGTGTCTTTGAGCATCTGAACAGATTGTCCAATAAATAAAACCTTAAAATAAGATTTTATCTTTAGTTTTTTAAAACTTTCATAAATTTAACAATGTGAATTTTAAAAGCAATAACCTTTTCAGCAACTCTTGTTGGAATGTAAGATGGTAGCATAGAAGGGACTATTGTTATTCTGGAACTTTCATTTGTTGATGGTGCACTTTCAGTTAACTGTTCAAAAGAAATTATATTAAAAACTCTAATTAATTGCTAAAACAAACAGAATTCTTTTATCCTACAAAATCTACTTTTGAATTCTCTAACCAGCATTTCTTCATTGAATTCATTGCCTTTTACATCTCGTAAAGCCATATTTGATGACATAGTGGCACCATCAACATTATCTTCTTCACTCCTAGTTAAGTTAAAAAAGAATGTTTATATATACATATATATATATATATATGATATATATATATATATATATATATATATATATATATATATATATACATATATTTATATATATATATATATGCATGTATATATAAACATATACATATATATATATATATATATATATATATATATATATATATATATATATATATATATATATATATATATATATATATATATATATATATTATATGTACTATATAAACATTTACTATATAAATATTTTATATTCACTATTATTTAGTATCTATATATTATTTACAACCAAATATACTTACAACTTCCTTTCTTCTCTAAGCTTCATTTTTTTTTTGTCAACTATAAAAAACTCATGATAGTTATCTACCAACAACCCATGTAACATCCAAGCAGATAGTTGTTTATACAAAACACCATGACATGTATGAAGTATCCTAAACAATCGGTTAATAATAAACATTATAATACTATAAACATTATTTCTAAAAAAAAATTATTACTATATTAAAAATATTACTATATTAATTGTATCATAATATAAATATTATTTAAAATATGATATATTTACTACTTTTGTAAATAACTAAGAATTTGAAACCTAAAAAGCAAAACAAGAGCAACTAATAAAAAAATATGAAAGAACTTTAACAAAAATCAAAAATTAACAAGTGATAATGATAAATTATCTTCATGTATCCATGAGCTCGAAAATATTAAACATCTTCCATTTGTATGGCTAAGCATTAGCAGCAGTGCTATTAAATCTCCTGACAAAATGAACATTATAAATTTAATTGCTAATGAAACTAAAAAAAGGGAAAAAAGTGAAAATAATGTCATTATGTTTGGTGTTATTTTTTTTTTGAGTTTTCTACAAACACAAATTAAAAAAGTGAAAAAATAGAAAACAACTCATCTATCAACAGGGTATTAAGTAAGTTGCAAGTTAATGTTAATATTCAAAATATAACAAAATTGAAGTCTATGGATGACCAAAATGCTCTATTTATTATAATATCAAACGATAAAGCAGAAAGGAATTCAATTCTAAAAAAGTCAAAAAAATTAAGAGACTGAAAGAAGTTTGAAAAAGTGATCTGGATTAAACTTAGGTGTAAAGGTCCGGATTAAACACAGGTGTAAAAATCGAAGCTCTTACGAGATGATTGCAGATCGCAATTCACAGCAATTCAGATAATGACCATTACTTCAGCATTAGAAGCAATATAGTAGTAAAAATTAAAAAAATATTATTAAAGAAAATGTTAACCCAAACCAGTGTCAATAGTCAAAAACAAACATATTGTTTTAAAACATAATGTATTTAGGTACAAATATGCCAGAAATAACAATGAAATTAAGATTAAATGTTCAAAATGTTTATAAAAGGCTATGTTACCTTGAAAAGTTAATGGATGAAAATGAATTTTCTTTAGGGAGTGAATTTTCTTCAGAATTGGATGAGTTAAAATAAAAAAGCAAAAGAAGTTTTTAGCGGATTAACAAAAAAGCCCATTTTTATTTTAACTTGTCAATGGAAGATTACACTGTTGGAAGACATCACAGTGGTACTGCGTAGATTATTGATAAAAAAAAAAAATTGATCAAAAAAGTAGATATGATGTTGTATTAATTGGAATTTACATGCCATGCAATCATTGAAAAGCTAAAACATTTCAAGAATCTGAAAAAATTTTTAAAGAAGTTTTTTTAAATCTTCAAAAAACTGATTATACATTTAGAGATTCAATGAAATTGAATCTCTAAATGTATAATCAGTAAATCATCATGAATTGACCATGCCATAACAAATATCATAAATTGACCATGCCATAACAAGTATCATGAATTGACCATGCCATAACAAATATCATGAATTGACCATGCCATAACAAATATCATGAATTGACCATGCCATAACAAATATCATTCTACAAGAAATAATCATTCAATGTACAATTCTCGAAAGTCAATTAAATGATGGTGACCACAGTGCCATACAAATAACTATTAAAAATCAAAAAACAAACACTAATTATTGTATTAAAAAGTTAATGGACAAGGACATCCTAAAAATCCCTTTTCTTGCTCTATAACTTGATTCTTTTTTTCTGGTAACTCCAAACTTAATAGTGGTTGCTTGCAGCCTCAATGGGAGTGAATCAGAATTTAAAAAAATCGAAACATTTAATTGTTGTTACATTGTTATAAAATACAATATGCATTTTTTCCTCAATTTGTATTAAATTGGATAGCTAAAAATAATAATCACCCTAAAAAAAAGAATACTAAAGTTATGTAAAAATTTTATAAAAAATTTTTTTTTCAAGTTTTTTTTTTTCAAATTATTAAATTATTCTACTTTATTTAATTAAAATTTGATATTTCTTTACAAATTTCCTTTTTTTGTCTTTCTCAGCATAGTCATTTCGTCTACAAGTATGTTTCCTTTTTTTAGAATTGGTTTATTTTCTTAGTATATTATTCTTAATAAGTTCAGCTATTTCTCACGAATTATTGAAACACTTAAAAAGTTAAAAGATACAAACTGCCGTGGTCAGTGTATTTAAAAAAATTACTTCAAACATGGACAAACAAGGCATGCGACCGCATGGGCTTCCTGGTAAGGCTTACAGCTTGTACTCTATTGGTGCTCTTAATGCCTAAATCTAATTCTTAATTAGCCTTAACTAATCTCTGTGATGACAAAATTTAATAAAACACTTTCTTTACACCACCATCTACTTTAACTTCTTTTTTGACTCTCAAATTACTGAAAAATGAAATCAAAAATTCGTTCTTTTTAAAAAGAGAAAATTTTCATTAGGTTTTTCATGTACTTCACTTCTGCTTGAATATCAGCAATGTTTTAAGAAACTTTTTTTGATATAATATATATTTTTTATTTTATTCTCCTCATGAGGCAGAGGGGGCCACTAAGTTGAGGAGGAAACCTTGACAAATAAAGTAACTGTGCAGAGAAACAAGTTAAATGTGATACTACCAGGGATGTGTTGGTGATCGAACTCAAGACTTCTCGCTTTCAAACCAAGGGCTCAACCATTACACCATAACTAAGACAAAGTTGACTTTTCTAGACCTGAATTTAACTGAAAAGCAAAAATAGACCATACGCGTTCTCTCAATATATAATGAAAAACAAGGGTGACAGGAATAGTGTCAAAAAACTTTTCAAATGAACTTTCAAATGAACTTTCAAAAGAATAAGGTCGAATATATTTTAAAAACTTAATGTCGCAAAAAAAAGGAATAGTGTCACAAATGAATTTAATGAATAGTGTTAAAAACAAAAAAAAGGAATAGTGTCACAAAGTATATAGTAACAACAGAATAGTGTCGCAAATAGTTAATTTCAGCAATTGCTTACTTGTTTTGCTTATCGTTATAGCATACCGCTTTTACAGAAAAAAAAAAGAAAAAAACAAAAAACAATGAATGAAAAGATCGCTACCAAACCCGAAATCTTCAGTTGATTTAGTTTTCGACACTGTTCATTAAATTCATTTGCGGCATTATTTCTGTTACCCAACAATCAATAATGCGACAATATGTGACACTATTCCTTTTTCACATTTTTGACAATCAAATTTGCGACAATAAAAATTTTGTAACACTATTCCACCACACCATAAACAAATTTGGACTTTTAAACCAAACTTAACTGAAAGCCTAATAAGGATTTTAAAAACATTTAATTGAAGGAGAAATTTAAAAAAACAATGAAAGTACTTTTTTGAAAAATTATTTTTTACAAACCAAAAGAAATATATATATGAAATGTTTTTTAGCTAATAATTAACTATATTTCAAAATTAACCATATTTCAAGTAAAAGTAACTTTTTTATTTGTGAAAAAAAAAAAATATAAGCTTTAAAAAAAAAAAAAAATTGTTGCAAAAAAAAAATCTATAATATGAAAATGCAGTAATAATAAGAATTTATTGAACCTATACAACTCCTAATGTTTTTAAGCAAGCATGAACAAAAGAACATTAATAACGTTCATTGAAAAATATGGAATGTAAATTTTATAAAGGAAAAAGATTGTGAATATATTATGTTAAATATTCTCCTATTTTTTACCTTTTTTGAAAGCGACAAATAAAATTTAATAAGTGATAGACTTTGTGGTAAAAAAACTTTTCAGTTATCTTTATCTATTTTTAGTTTACTTAATTACAGTTTTGTAAAACAAATCTAAATGTTTTCTTTTTTCTTTCTTTTTTATTGAACTGATGTTTCCAAATCCAAGTGGGCCACTTAGAGATAAAAACTCTTTCTCAACTCTTTAAATTTGAAACACAAACCTTGACAAAACAACTCCGCAACTCAGAGAAGCTTGATATACATGAAACATGTAATATATATAACAATTATTTTTCTTTTCTAATTAAAAAAAAAATTATTAACTTTTGAATTTAAAGGAATATTAAATAAAATTGTTACCAAATTTAATTAAAAATTTCTATTTTAAATTTGGCACTGAAGTTAAAAAAAAGCCAATTTTGACTTTTAATAAACTTCTTTATCCGAATTTTAACCAACCAATTGTCGGTCCTTAACCACAACCGCAATGATATGCCATACAACTACAAAAATAAAGAATGTAATTCGGTAAAGTATTCGTAAATAAACTTACTTTTCAGTAGCAGCTTTGATTGGAGGAACTCCACAATAAGAGGTTTTTTGAAGAAGCTCTAAAATTTGGCATCCATGAACCTAAATATTTAACAAAGTATAAAAAAAAAAGTTTATTGTAAAGAAGACAAATTTATATCAGTTACTGTTATACTAATACAAACATTCAAAACAACAAATTTCAATAATAACAACCACATCATCAGCTTAAATATCAACAACCACAGCATCAACTTAAACAACAACAACCAGATCATCAATTTAAACAACAAAAATAATAATAACAACATAAATAACAACAAAACTGATAAACAACTTTTACAGTAAAAACAGAATAAACTTCAAAGACAACAAAAACAGAAAAAAACTTACTTTTTTATTTTGAATTTTATTGATCATATTCATCAAAGTAGGAAAAACAAAAAAATACTAAAAATAATATTGAATCAAAAACAGTTATGCACAAAAAAATTAAAACCATTATGCATAAAACATTTAAAATTAAAATTATGCATAAAACAATTAAAATCAAAACAGTAAAAAAATGATATAAAAAATAGATATAAAAAATGATATAAATCACAAATAGCAACATTCATAGAAGTATATTTTAATTTTGTATTTAGTAGGTTTTTTCTTTATTTTTCTGTTTTTTTTTTCTAAAAAATTTCAGAAAACTAATGTCAAAAATATTTTATTTCAAAATCAATATTATATGCATCATATAATATTGATTTTGAAATAAAGAGGAAAATTATGAAATTTAAATGAATTATAAATATGTTGACTTCACCTGCTTTATAAAAAATCAATTAGAAAATCAGCATCAACTAAAGTTGTTTAGCCTTGTTGTGTTTATTGTTTTTGTATTCCTGATATTATTCTTTAATTGTATATATTATCCTACAAATAGTTAAAATCTAAATATTCTAATAATGAAACTTATTTGCTTACTTCTTCAAGTTCTTGATGTAGTCGTGACAATGGAGTGTGTGGATCTCTCATGATCTATAAATATATTATTCTATGATCATAAAAATAACATTTAAAAAGCATAACTGGACCAAAATTCAACTACAATAGATTTTTTTTTCAAAAACCTGGCTCTAATTCACTTAATTAAATTAGAATGCAACTATTGGTAAACAAATAAAAAAAATAACTGAATTTTTTAAACTAAAATATTTGAAAAAAACTAAATTTTAAGTAAATTTATTAAACTTTTAGGTTTTTGAACATCCAAAAATAAATTTCAGGGCAATGAAACCCAGTATGACAAAATTAAAATGATTTTTAAAATTAAAGAAAAAATGTTACTAAAAAAATATCAAACTTGATCTTCAATATGAATAAGAGTTAGTAGGTACGGCTGTAACACTAATGATAATCCTGCACAGAAAGCATGTAGATATTGGCCTTGTAAATCCTGGTTTTGCTCGACAATTTCTATCAAAAAAATAAGAAAAATAATTTAATCAAGTCATAATTACAAGTAACAAAAAATATTATAATAGGGGAGAGTGGTGTACCTCAGAGGTATCTTCAAATTTTTATAAATATATAAAAAAAAATACTTACAATATGTCCTGTAACAATACATTTTCTTGAACTTGGAATTAGGGTTGGCATTGTCGAATGCCAACCCAATTCCAAGGGTCGATATATATATATATATATATATATATATATATATATATATATATATATATATATATATATATATATATATATATATATATATATATATATATATATATATACACACACACACATATATATATATATATATATATATATATATATATATATATATATATATATATATATATATATATATATATATTAGCTTTCCAGACCCATGAAATAATGGTCTGTACTAAACCTACCATTTCTATATTATCTATTCAACACCAATCATTTCTATACCTATTAATTGTTTACTTCAATATTTTTACATAAAATAATTCCTTTTGAAAAATGGCTTTAGAAGAAAAAAAATCGACATGCGCACCTTTCCGCATACCTAGAGCTTATAAGAGATTAATAAGGTAATAAGGATAATAAGGTTTTTTTTCTCCTAAACCCACATCATTGATAGCTCAGTGGTTTAGTGTGCTGTCATCAGTGTTGTTTTGGGGGATTAAAGACCTTCCCCAATAAATTTGGAAAATTTTTTAATCTTGCTGTATTTATAGCAATATTTATAGCAAAATTTGTATTATAGTATATATTTATTATAATTATAGCAATATTTATAGTAAAAATCTAGCAAAAAAGTTTTCTAATTGTTAGTTTGTTAAATAAAATTCAAAAGTTTTCTCATTTTTATAGATTTATTACACATGATTGTTCCATATACTAACTGCAAAGTCAACATTTGCTCAAGATGTTTACACTCAATCATTTGTACACAACACTATAAAAATGGCAGAACTAAGAAGATCTTAGACCATTCAAAACTATAGACTATAAAATGCTAAGGTATTGTCCTTAAATTACCCAAAGCTAAATTTATTTTTTAAAAAAGGTCTTAAGTTCTTTTAGGTAGCGATTTTCATTAAATTTGAGCTATTTTTTTTTTTTTTTTGTGCCATTTGATTTTATTGATATTAAAATGAGATATTTTTATTTTTTATTTAACTTGACTCTGTGAGAGAAAACTTTTGATCTTTTTTGTCTTGTTCATTAGTAAAATTTAGCGTTGCATAATTTATGGGCAACCCCTAATCTAAAAGTTAAGCCAAATAATAATGGAGTATAATACTACTTTGATGGTTATCTAAATTTTGTCGTTGTTGCACACTCAGTTTAAAAGGTTTAACAGGGGCGTGGTAAAATAATTGTAAAACTCTAAATTTCCTTATTATATCAATATTAAATAATTATAACTTTTAATTATTCTAAAATAATAAATTTAATAAAATGGTTTAATTTAAATATGAAATTAGAATTTTCAAATAAGTTCTTATTAAAAACATACCTTTTAAACCCCCATACTGTTTAAAAAAAAGGTCGCCGCGTGGCAAGTTCAGCTTGCTTTTTTTTTTTTAATTTTTGTTATTTAAAATGCAAAACAAAACAACTTTAGAGTTCTATAGATTTTGTATTCTATATATAAACATGTTGTATACTTATTTTTCTTGCACAAACTCAACTTAGTGGTAAAAAAAACTTGAAATGTAAAACTAAAATAACATAAGTATCTCAATCATGACACATACGCAACGAATTTCCCCCCATTTTTTGATGTTTTTAAAATTTTTAGATTTAAAAAAAAAAAATGTGTTTGTTAAAGTGTATAATATTGTTACATATGTTTAATATATGTTTGTATATAATTTATATAAAACTTGTATATTGTATTTTAAAAAATTTTAAAAAGCCGTTTTCTTATAATAAAAGTCCTACGATTCTTAGTTGCTATTAACTCGGTTGCGATTACTGCCAAGGGTTCGAAGTCAAATACGCTCAAAAGGGCACTACTACTACTACTACTACTACTACTACTACTACTACTACTACTACTACTACTACTACTACTACTACTACTACTACTACTACTACAACTACAACTACAACTACAACTACTACTACTACTACTAGTTAGATTTATATAAACTATACATTAACTATACTCTACATTCAGGTAATCAAAGTTAATGTCAAATGATAAGTTTTCCAGCAATCGTGTTGAACCTCTTGTAATAGAGGGATATGGCAACTGAAAGACCAAGTCTGATTTGTCCAACTCATACACAGTTTTATCTTCTCTTGTAAAACTTTGTGAGTTTGTGTCCTTTTTAAAACACTGAATTTTGAACAGTGTCAGCAACTTCTATTACCTCTGCTAAAAAGTTTTTTGCAACACATTTGCCTTGAATTTGTGCCAAGATTAAAACTCCAGATTTTTTTTAAATTTGAATCTTTCATAACTTTAAAGTTTACTTCTGACTGAGCAGATATATTGTCAGATATTACATCTACATTTTGTATTTAATTATGTACTAGTTTTTTTCAAAACAGATACCGTTTGTTTATTATCAATTTTACCTTTTATCTTATTGCCAGATTTTTTCTTTGATTTGTGATCACTTATTTCAATCCTTGAAATAATTCAAGGGTTAAAATAAGTGAACACAAATTGCCTCATTATTTCAGTTTTTTAAATCCATTAAATCTGTTATTATCATAAAATTCAATAATCAGTATTCAATAAAAAATATTTATGTACTGATCTTGAAACTATAATACAAAACTTGTCAAGTTAAATTTAATAGTTAAATAAATTTAATAATTATTACAAATAGTCATTAAACAAAACTAGAAAAAAAAAAAAAACATTACAATACAACATTAAAAAAAGTAAACAACAATATACAAAAGATATTTATGCATTTTCATACTTATTATGAATTGCAATAGGCTGAAAAAATTTAGCAATCATAAAATATTTTTGTGATTACTAATTTTTATATTTTATTTGTATATTTAAATATATCTTACAAAAAAACAAAATAAAAAAATATTAAAATGGAGGTGTTCAAAAATATGAAAACTTATTTATAGCACTTTTAGTTGAAATAAAAAAAAACAAAAAAAAAAAAAAAAATATTTAAAAATATTTAAAAATATATTTTTTTCTTTATTCTTTTTATTAATTAATTGAATAATCTAAATTTAAATAATAATCTAAAAATATTTAAAGTTTTAAAGATATTAACTATATATATTTAAAGTTTTTAAGATTCCAAGGGCGAATCCAGAAACTTTTTGTTTTCGTGATAATTTCCAGACATGGAAGAAACTCCATCCATTTATATATTTATATTTTAGTATATGGATCTTTGCAAAAAATTGCAATAAATGGAGCCTGGGAACAAAAAAAACCTTAGAGTTTAGACACTCCTGACCCAATGTTAGAGCAACAAGTTAATAAAATATTTTTTCTATTATTATTAACTAAACTAATATTTATCAACAAATTGTAAATTTCATAAAATAACCTCTTAGCAAAAATTATAACCACAAAAATTTTTAACCCTCTCAAATTCAGGTGATTCAAAGTTTAAATGGTCATGATTTTTAAATGCTAAAAGATTATTGTATGAAATTTAAAGTTTATAGATGAATATTAGTTTAGCTAAGTATAATAGAAAAAATATTTTATCAACTTGTTGCTCTCAAATATGGGCAGGGGCATCTCTTTTTTTTTTTTGTTCACAGGCTCCAGTTATTGCATTTTTTTTGCAAAGCATCTTTATTTGACATAAGTGAAAACATAAATATTTGGAGTTTGCTGAATGACTGGAATTTAGCAAACACCTCAAACAACAAAAAAAATTTTTTCTGTCTTCGGTAAAAACCCTGCTTTAAAAAATTAGCAATCTGGGAGAGAGGGGAGAAGTTGGACAATAAAAAAAATTTCAAGTAAAGCATTATTTCTGACCTCCTAAGATTGACAGCAGGTTATAATAAAGTATATATATTTTTGATTTTAGAGGAAACCTGCCATTCAAGTAAAGTAAGACACAGGTATGGCTGAGGTGGGACTTGTCCCACTTCAGTTTTCATGCTCAACCCATAAAGTTTTGACGTTTATATAACGCCTATATATAGTTTATATATAGCAGAAGTTTATATATAATGCTTATATATAACCCAAAAATTTTTTAAAATTTTCATGTTCAACCCATAAAGCCCTTAAAGCCCTTCAGCAATAAAGATTAAATGGTTTACGGTTTTAATAGTTTCCAGTTGATTAATTGCTTGTAAGCAAGTAAAGCATGCAATCTTTATCAAAATAATAAAAAGGTTTCCATAGTTATACAAAAAAGTGAAAAAAATAGGAGAAATGGGAGATGAATTTTCTTTGTCTCACTTCAACCCTCAAAAAATCAATTTTTGGAAATACTTTTCAAAGTCTATTAAATAGTGGGGAAAAATCTCATTGTTTACATTAGAAGAAATTGATTAGGGACTTTTCCTAATTGGAATTTTCAAGCTGTCTTAGTTCTCCCATGCCCCACTTCTTTCCACTCATCCCTATTTTTATTGATTCATTATAAAATTTAATGCATGTATTAGCGGCCAATTAAAAAATAACAGATTAAAAAATGCTAGTTTTTAATATAAGTGTTAGTAAAGGTTTCTAAAACATTTAAAATTTATAATATTTATTTTAATAATTTTTGCTTCTTCTTATAAAACATGGATTAACTGTTGTTTAAACATCTTAATATTAAAACTGTAAGAGTCAACTTTTAACGCTCAATGTTGTTTTGTTTTCGTTTATAAAGGAGTTTTAATTAGTTACTAGGCTTTTCTGAATTTGAAAGAGTGCATTATCAAAATGCACACAGTCATTAGAGAAAGGTCTATCAAGAAAATTAAAACTTTTTACCTTTTGGAATTTAATTATTATTTATTAGTTTAGAAATATTACATAA